CCATAAAAACAAAACACTAATTACTTATTAACTAAACAGTACAATATACAAACAGGGTAATTCATAGAGACATTTCTTTATATAAGAATGGGGAAGGAGTTTATACGATTTTTTACTACTCCTGTTCTTCCTTTTATGGAATGTATTACTGTTGTATTTGCTGGATTATTAATAATAAACATAATAATAATAATACATCAATCTTATACAGCATTTTTTGGACACTCAAAGACGCTTTTCAAAACGTTTAAAAATAAACATTGAATAACAAAATTAAGGAAAGGCAAACTGAAGCAGGTGGGTTTTGGGACGTGTTTTAAAGTTCTGTAGTGAGTCTGAGTTTCTGATGGTTGTGGGAGTGAGTTCCAGAGACTGGGGGCAGCGAAGGCTCGGCCCCTCAAGGTTCGGTGTTTAGTCCTGAGGGGAGTGAGGAGGACAGTGATGATGGAGGAGGTCAGTGAAGTACGAAGGGGCGAGGTTATGGAGGGACTTGTGGGTGAGGAGGAGGACCTTGTATTGTGTGAGGTGGGGTGAGGGGTGAGGTGGTCCCTGGAGCAGGTGTGGGTGAGCAGGCGGGCGGCAGAGTTTTTGGACATGTATGGAAGGGAGGCCGAAGAGGAGGCTGTTGCAGTGGTCGTGTCTGGAGGTGATGAAGGCATGAACTAGTATTTAAGCCTTGGATTGAGAGAGGGAATAACTCAATCATTATTGTGATATTTTATTGCATAACCGTGAAAAAATTGACTAAATAAATAAAGAAAGGCAGTCACACACAAAACAAAACTTGCTCGAAGGTTCCAAAATACCTAGACAGAAGAACAAGAAACAAAGGCTTTGAGACAAATAACAAAACAGAATTATACATAATCCAAGAATAAGGAAAAATTCAAAATGACAGGAAAAAAAACCCATCAAAACACAAAGAGGCAAATCGTGAATATTTAAAGAAGCATTAGAGGCTTAAAAATAGATTTAAGAAGTAAATTTCTCCTGCGTGAGATCTAGAAAGTCTATCTTATCTTATCTTATCTTTAGAAATAGTATAATAATACCCTCCCTCTGGTGGTAGCACAAGGAACTGCACACTGAGAGCAATTTATTTTATTTTCGTTAAAGGAACAATATGTAAAAATCTGGCCAAAAGTGGTACTGCAGTCACAGTCAATATTTTGTAGTCCTCTCCCACTCTCCCTGACTCAGGTTGCCAGATTCACACCAAATCCAGCAGCAAACACAGGGAATTATTTTATCAGTTGTTTGTCCGTCTCCATTCACATTGCCATGACAGCCGTGCTAATGCTGAATGAATGTTTTGATTCATGTTTTTTTATTGTTATTATTTGGACATTTGAGATAAAAAACAAAAACAAAATAAAAGCAATGTAATTATACATAGTTTATGCAAAATACATAAGACATATTGATGTCAAAAATAGGAGCGGGAAGAATGGATGTTGGAACGTATTTCTTCAGCGTATCAACGTCAGGGTTTGCTCAAGAGGATATCACCTTTCAATTTTATTTATTCCCTATTTTTTAGACAAACATGTAAAAGTCCCACATCAAAAAGAGACTAACATTATTTTAATTGGGGTACATGTGGTCTCAAATGATTATTTTTACAATTAAGCTATAATCTGCAAAAAAACGTCTTGACCTTCGTCTTTTACCGTTTTTAGAGCAATCTGTCATAGAATGTGATAACATGCAATTAAATACAAAAAGACATAGCCCGGGATCAAACCCGGGTTCCTGCATCGTAAGCGAACAGTTTAGACCACTAGACCACCGATTCGCACAGTTAGAGTCTATGTGAAGAACGGAATCAAAGCAGCAAATTCTGCATCACACGTGAACTTTTATCAGCTGTCTCAATTGTTCAAAGGCGTCCCGATATAAATCCTCGTTTTAGTCTTTGTTTTGTCATTAATGATTTGAGAGTCATAACAATACCTTTTTTAGTTCTACGCCACATGTTATTTTACCACTGAGATTAGTGAGCCGCGCGGAGTTCTGGCAACCCGATCACGGACTTACATGACACTTCCTGATTGGCGAAACGGCGGAGGGTAGGACATCAAAATCAAAACAATAACAACTTTTACGGGTCGTAAAACTAATTTTGATATTCAAATATCTCGGATGAACTACTGTTATCAGTTAAAGATGTATTTGAAAAGAACATGATTTATTAATGCCTTTTGAAATATTCGGGTCATTTAAAGATGACTTGACATGCAAATATTACATATTGCTCCTTTAAGTTTTATGCATAGATTTACAAGAAACACAAAAATATCCAAAAGCAAAAAAAAAACGTCGCAACACTAGATCATTTTTAACAGTGGATTTGAATGTTTTTGTTTTGGTTCCAACAACAAATCAAGAAGACTTCCTGCTTTTCTAATGTATTGAACAAACCAAACTTTGTGAGGACCTACTCTCGACGCAAACAAGCAGAACGTATGCAAACGGCGCTATCCCCAAAACCCTAGCATCGACATGTTAGCATACGCCGGACAGCTTTGGCCATAGCATCTAATTAGCTTGCGCGCCCCCTCTCTTTAGACAGCCTCCCTCCGCACACAGATCCGGGACTAAGTGGTCCGGAGACGAGGCTGCAGAGATGGTTGAGGAGTGTAATTTGAGTGTTGCCATGGGGAACGGCGAGCGGAGATTTGCCCTCAGCGCTAATGAGAGGCACGAGCTGACGTTAGGCTAACAGGCACAGGACGTTAGCTGCAGCCGCCATCTACAGACGTGCAGTCGGGTTTTTTGTACTTAAGGCTTGCTTCTTCATCATGTTAAAGTTTGAGATTATTTAGACTTCTTTTATGCTAGAGTTGGAGATTTGATTCTATTTTAAAATGGAGTTATTGTTTATGTGTCTTGTGCTCTGTGCTCCTCATTCCTACTGTATGGGATATCTTAATCATACACATACTGCATACAGACGTATATACACTGTACACACATACAGACATAAATACATACACATATACAGACATATATACACATATACAGATATACATACACATATACAGATATACTTACACATATACAGATATACATATACATATACAGATATACATACACATATACAGACGTACATACACATATACAGATATACATATACACATATACAGATATACAGATATACTTACACATGTACAGATATACACACCCATATACAGATATACATACACATATACAGACGTACATATACAGATATACATATACACATATACAGATATACTTACACATGTACAGATATACACACACATATACAGATATACATACACATATACAGACGTACATATACAGATATACATATACACATATACAGATATACTTACACATGTACAGATATACATATCAATCAATCAATCAATCAATCAATCAATCAATCAATCAAATTTTATTTATAAAGCGCTTTTCATACAAAAAGTGTAACACAAAGTGCTTTACAGTTTAGTTAAAAATAATCCAACATGCCCAGCCCTAAACCCTCCTCCCCACAGACCCCCCAAAATCACATTTATAATTATATATACAATACACACACCCACACACACACACACACACACACACACACACACACACACACACACACACACACACACACATATACACAAGTATAAAGTCATATCAGGTAAAATAGGTAAAACAATAAAAAGAAATGGGGCTGGGAGCAGATGTAACCGGCTGAAGAAGCGCCATCCAAGGAGCCATCTGCACCAGGAGCAGAGAGCCGGCTGCAGCCACAGGCAACGACACAGGACCCAGAGGAGAGAGGGGCCCCAGACCCCACCAGGCCCAGGACTCAGACCCCATAGGACCCAGAGGAGAGAGGAGGCCCCAGACCCCCACCGGATCCAAGAGCCAGACCCCCGAAGCCACAGCAGACCCCAGCTCTCAGTGCAGAGGGCTCCTCCAGAGGAAACACTGGGGACACTAAAACAATACAATAATACAATAGAAAGTAGAACAATAGAATGTGAAAATAAAAAGAAAAATGGCAGCTGCCTAATATTGATAATAACAATAGTAAATGGGTAGATACAATAAATAATTAAAAATAGTAAATAATAAAATTAAATAAAAATATAATCCGTCTAAAAACATAAATAGATGTACTAAAAAGCAATAATAGATAATAAATACATACAGATACACAGATATACTGTATATATGTCTATATAGACATATACAGACGTACATACACATATACAGATATACATATACACATATACAGACGTACATACACATATACAGATATACATATACACATATACAGACGTACATACACATATACAGATATACATGCACATAAACAGACATAAATGCACTTATATAGACATTCATACACACATACACACATACAAACATGGATACACATACAGATGTACATGCAAATATACAGACGAACATAGGCACATACATACACCTATACAGGATCATCGCCACTGCCCTTAGATAACCCAAACATAACCCAGTGAAAAACCTCTGTGAGGCCCATATTGAGGGACAAATCCGCTCCCACAGATGGACACGCTACAGATCCAGGACTCAGGCTGCAGAACGAGGACTGAGGCCATGTGATCCAGGACTGAGGCTGACATTTTGGGCTGAGAACTGATTGGCTGAGTATTTGGCATTTCGAGTAAAACCCACAATGTGATATATCTATTATTTTTTTCTGTCTAAAAATACTGATGTAAAGATGTGACAGAGGCCAAAACAGGCGCATAGTGACTAACTTACTGATCATTCACTGAGACTAAACCCGGATAACTGGGTAAATGTATGATTAATTACAGAAAAACAAAAACAATTAAACAACAATATTAAGTTTAAGACGACCATTTCCCGTCGCAACACAAACAAATAATAACTATCCAACTGTAAATCCATTCTTGGCCTTGCATCCAATCTAAGGCACTTAGAAGAATGCGAGATATGCACCGTCAGCCACCTGTAGACCGGCTTTACGAAGACTAATGATCCATGCTGAGCCAATCGGATTTCCCTACGGCCAAAGTCTGCGGGAGGAGATCAGCGAAAGCCACTCCAAAAACGGTTCCGCCCGTGTCCGGAGCTGGAGGTGGGATTACCGCAAACCGCTGCATCAGCACATCTGCGGAAACAAAGGAAAAATCGGGCTCTTTGTCGAAGTGCTGTCTCGCATCGTGAAGGTTTGGGACCATGCATTATTCAGGTGTTTGAGAGACTTTACACGACAAAAAAGAAAGGCAATTTTATATTTGTTGAATCTAATAAGTACAAACGAGGAATGGGAATGTTGCCAGTTCCAAGCTGGATTCAGGACAGGCAGAAATGGCTCTTGTAAGGTTGGATTGGATTGATGGGAGCCTATTTTCCCAATTTCTGCTGCTTTATCCGTTGCCAGGTTGCAGAAGCACAAGCACAAGACTTCCCTCTCCACGCACACTTCCTCCAGCTTGTACTTCATGATATTCCTACAAATATTTTATCACAAAATTAACAAAATAACCCATTTAGGTACCAAGCATTTGTTCAAACATGTGGAACAATAACCCCATAGAGGCTGAAGTGGGTGGAATGACGTTGTTTACGAAGAAGTAGAGGACATGTTGAATGCTTAAGTGGATTATTTTCCGGATAAGGAAGTAAAACCGGCCCATTGCACAGGATTTACTTTGCAGTTTGTCGTTTTCAGACCAGCTGAGAGAAATAGACCCTTAGAATGAAGCCAAAATAAATATGAATTGTTAGAGCTTTTTTTTGTCATTCTAGAAATGGTAAATCTATGGATAAACTTGTTCAAATATTAGCTTCATCACTATATATGAAACAAGATTCATACGAGAAAAAAAAATAGCAGCTTTTAGTCCAGAAATGAAATTGAATCTAAGCATGTTTAAGTAAGGATTATACCATGGTCCCGAGAATTCAAGTGTGCAACAAATGTTTATTGACTTTTTTTGAACTGGCCAAATATGCTGAAGTGTAGGGATTAGTTAAAGGAGCTATACCCGTTTCTGCAAGGCTTCTCAATTCCCCTACGCTCTTATTTCACAAAGCCATCTAGTTTTCTTTGCGATCTGATACATATGCTAACATTAGGATGAGCACAACTTCTTGTAAGCTGTTCAACAATCACTGATGAAATGGTGCAAAAGCAACGCACTGCTAACACAATATATAACTGAAAGATTACCGCTCGTTCCTCGTCTGAATGTAGTCCGAGGCGGTCTTGCAGGTCTCTCCCATAGACTGTAAGTGGATACGACGTAAACTAGCTATGTTCACCAGGGCTTGATTTCTTCTTTGATAATTTTTTCGCTTTAGTTCCCTGTTCTCTGCCTCACTGTTGTGTCGTTTGGACTGTTTTGCTGTGTCTGCAGTTACAGCCAGAGGAGTTATATGGGCACTTTCTCCATTCTGCTCTTGTTTACCAGCGCTGTAGAGGCTAGAGGATGCAGCCCCGTTCTGTGATTGGAGGAGAGCGGCGTCACGCTAAATCTTTACTCAGCACCTTTTACGGCCTGAATTCATACACAAGCTGAATCAATGAGCTCAAGTTTTCAACTCAACTTGTATCTAGTAATAAGCATTTTTATGAACTCATAAAAAAAATTGATACAGCTTCTTTAACAATTCTGAAAAGAAAACATTTACCTTAGCAACCGTTGTAAAGAGAAATGGGAACTGCTTTTAATAACACGCAAAAAATTACAAAACATTGTTATTTACACAGACCAAATTGGTATCCTTGCTTTTGCCGTTCTTCTTCTTGGTTCTCCTCTTAACCCTTTAAGCGCCAAAGTCGCAATATTGCGACAAGCAACATTGCTCACTTAAACAGGCTGTATGTAAAAATGTGGTGCAGAATTTTGTTAATACTTTTCACCAGGGGTTAGTGGACATGTGTGCCTGTAATATGAGCAGCATTTGTGGGTGTGGTTATATTGAAAGTTTTTGAGTAAATTGAGTTCGTAAAACACCTGCGGCGCTGCAGCGCGGAGGCGAAGCAGCAGCGGTAGAGCTGAGAGGAGCGAGAGCAGAGCAGAGGGAGAGAGGGTTTTTTATTTTACTCACGAGGTCTTCAGTACCAGAGAAGTACTTGGTCTGGTACTGGCTCACTCAGATTCAGAGGAGGAAGACACACAGGTGTCCAGTGAAGCAGACACGGACATTATTGGTGACGGGGAGACCGCGCTCCATAGTCCACAATCAGCCCCTGTGCAGCGGCTGCTTGTCCTCCGTGTGGCCGCGGTAGAAGCATTCTGTGAACGCCTAGCAGGATCCGTGGTGGAGGGGACAGGGGGATCATAACACCGGGCATGTGGGAGAAAGTAGCGGGGATAGACATCCACGGGGAACACGGGAGACGCGGGAGAAGTCGCGGGAGAGCCGCGGGAAAAAAACACATCGCTAATCGCGTTCACTGCCTTTACCAACAGTGATGATGAGGATGAAGGCAGTTCTTGAGAGAAAATAATCCACAAAAGTGGATCAGAAGTGTTGAAGAGCCTGTTGTATGTTGTTGAGACGATCTGCCAAGTTCTGAGCCCATTCATTTCATCTCTCTGTTTCTAAACGGTAAATCCTGGAGGCTCATTTCCACTGAGAAAAAAAGTAAGCCCACTACTTCTCTGAAAGGGAAATATTGAAACCAATCTCAAGCTTTCATGACTGTAAACTATAAAGAGTGCTGTCTTGATCACTGACGGTCTTTGAAAAATAATACAATTCCATATGGCCGCGAACCAGTGCTAAAACATTATCTATAATCTGGATCAGGGAATTTTTTTCTATCCCAAATTCATTTCATACTAAAGATATTTCACATTGACTGTTTATAGTATTCCCTGATCTCAAATAACTCCCAAGCTACAGCTTTTTGAAGTCTTTATACAATAATTAACATTTTCCAAAATGGCCGCCACCTTGATGACGTCACAATATGCAAATTAGATGACGAATCAACTTCCATCCCAAAGTTTGGTTCAAACTGAAGATATTTCTAATTTACAGTATGCCTTTATCTCAAACCATTTTAAAGTTATAGCCTTTTGAAATCTTGAAATCAAAATTGTATATTTTCTTGAAAAAACTCTGGCGCCTAAAGGATTAATCTTATACCTCAGGTTTTGTTTCGTCCAAAAAAAATTTAATTCCCCTCAAAATTAATGTTATCCGGTGTTTTTAGTCGCTAAGGCTTGTCACGTAATTGATAGTTTATTTGATCCAGCTGATACAGTTACTATGGCAACAACTGTGGCGGAGGGATACAGAGCATGATTTTAAACTTACCGGAACTACGTGTGCGTATAAACGAAAATAATGCACGGCAGTTAGCATTGGAATACTAACAGACCATGGTTTAAATTATATTAATGATAAAACAGTTATAACAACAGTGTGTATAAGAGACACAGACATAATACTTAAAACTTACTCGCTAAAGATTCAAGCATTCTCCAAGCACTTTCCAAGCACTCTCCAAGCACCGACTAAACCTCAGGGCTGCCTCGTGGTTCTTACACCATGAATTTTCCATATTTGCTTCAAAAGAATTTTAAAGAAAAGCCCAACAACATTGAATCATCTCCAAGGATCTGAGAAAATGAAGAATTTAAAAAGCATAAACTATGAAAGTGGATCTCATGTTTTATTTCATTTTTCTCTGTGGTTTGAAAGCTTTAGAGGCGGCGTGAGGGCCAGTGTAACGGCAGACAATAAAACTAGTAGAAGAAAAAAGCACAAAACTCGCTGCTAATTAAACCGATCACATCCTGGAGCAAAAGGGACTGATGCAGAGTCTGTAACTTTAACTTTGGGGAGAATTCAACTGGATTTTTATACCTGTCTCTCTGTGTCTATATGTACCTGTGTCGCTTGCTATGTCTATATGTACCTGTGTCGCTTGCTATGTCTATATGTACCTGTGTCTCTGTGTCTATATGTACCAGTACCTCTCTGTGTCTACATGTACCTGTGTCTCTATGTACCTGTGTCTGTGTCCCTATGTACCTGTGTCTGTGTCTATATCTACCTGTGTCTGTGTCTACATGTACCTGTGTCTCTATGTACCTGTGTCTGTGTGTCTCTATGTACCTGTGTCTGTGTCTTTATGTACCTGTGTCTCTGTGTCCATATGCACCTGTGTCTGTGTCTACATGTACCTGTGTCTGTGTCTATAATTACCTGTGTCTCGCTGTTTCTATATGTACCTGTGTCTCTGTCTTTATGTACCTGTGTCTCTGTCTATATATACCTGTATCTATATGTAGCTGTGTCTCTCTGTGTCTCTATATGTACCTGTGTCTGTGTCTACATGTACCTGTGTCTATAGGTACCTGTGTCTCTCTCTCTGACTATACAGTATGTACCTGTATCTATATGTACCTGAGTTCCTGCCATAGAAATACCGACAGAGGTGAAAAAAAACCCAAAACCTGCTCCTGAAGTGGGAATAACACGGAGAAAAGCCCAAATTACAACTTTACCAAAGCAGAGAGAAGCAGACGGCATAAAAAGTACTGACATTACCAGAACCACGTCCTCCTCTCGACTCCCACCATTGAACCACAACCGTTTATTTCCTCTCACATGGTTTTACTCAGAAAATATGCCAAGTAGCCTCCATCTTCAGCCATTTCACAATTTCAGTCATTTTCTCCCAAAGTGGCTTCGAACACGTTTTCAAAGAGAGATGCCAAAGAAGACCTGACAGACTGTGGTCCCCAAACTTTTTATTTTATATTCATTTTAATATTTTGCCAAATAAAATAAGAATATCCGTCTTTGAAATGACCTTGAAGACCGACAAATACAGATAAATACAGCACACTACAGTATACGACAAGACACGAGACATCTCCAAACGAAAAAGAAGAGAGGAGGGGTTAACGTCACAGTCTTTCCATGACAGAAGGACATAAGATCTAGACCGGTAGCAGATTTCGAGGTCGTACATATCAAGCAGTCCTGAAGCCCAACCACGTATGTCATCAATAGGCAATAAGCACACATTATATTTACCAACCTTTTTTTAATAGCCTTCGGTCATTGGGGCTACACATTCTGATTCTCTAATCGGACAAAGATATTTATTTTTATTTCAAGAACTTTTGCTTTATTGTCTCATTCCAAGGGAGACTTTTCATTTATCTGTTTTAAGACAGGATCATTTTGCTTTGTCCCGTTGGAAAATCTTGTTTAAAGTCTCAGTCAGAATGCACATTTAGCAAATTTGAGTATATTTTTAAACCCACTTTTTCATCACTTATTGCAGTGTGTTTGTAATTTACAGACAGTTACTAAATGTCGTCAATGTGAAGCACTTTGGGGTTGCATTCTGTATGAACTGTGCTGAAGAATTCTATTTTGATTGATTGATTTGAATGATTCGAGAGCCCCCTGGAGTCCCCCTTAGAGTCCGTCCTGGAGTCCAGCCCTGGAGTGCACCCCTGGAGTCCGTCCCTGGAGTCCACCCCTGGAGTCCAGCCCTGGAGTGCACCCCTGGAGTCCGTCCCTGGAGTCCACCCCTGGAGTCCGCCCCTGGAGTCCAACCCTGGAGAGCACCCCTCGAGTCCGTCCCTGGAGTCCTCCCCTGGAGTCCGCCCTGGCGTCCCTCCCTTGAGTCCCCCCCTGGAGTCCGCCCCTTGAGTCCTTCCCCTGAGTCCACCCCTGGAGATTCCCCCCCTGGAGTCCGCCCCTGGATTCCGCCCCTTGAGTCCCTCCCCTGAGTCCATCCCTGGAGTCCGCCCCTTGAGTCCCTCCCCTGAGTCAGTCCACCCCTGGAGTCCGCCCCTGGAGCTCGCCCCTGGAGTCCCCCAGTGTCAGAGAACTCAGTCTGTCGTCTATTATCCAAACTGAAAGACTGCGTTTCCTTTTCAAACACTCCTCATTGAGAGCTGATGACTTGGACTGGATCGAGGCTGACTTTCGTTGCCATGGCGATCGGCGAGGAGGCAATTATATACACACACGTGCGGATGTTTTTGAATGGCGCGAGAGACACAAGAATCAATAGTTTATTTGGCTAAGTTAAAAGGCTCCAGTGGAGATGGATGGGATTGATTTGTGTGTTGGTAAAATAAATGTTTCTGTTTTTTGGGCAGAAATAGTAAATGTGGAATGAATGCGAGAAATCCAAACATCAAACCGAATGTAAAATGTTTTTTTATTTAAAACGCTGAGAAAAAAACTTAATTGATCCATTTGTTCGGCTCATGAGGGGGTATCTGCGGTGTTTCTGGGGCTTGCCGAGAAAACTGCCCCTCCTCCAGGATCTTCATTCAACACAGTATTTGGCGAAGAGGAAGCTTGGTGTGAAAACCTGTCTGTCTTTAGTAAATCAACACCAATATCACAATATAAATACCAGGATCACAGAGAACGAAAGGAGTTTACTTTACAATTGAAGTCAATGGGAGCCAGAGACAGTTTCTGCAAAACTTTGTCCATGAGCACTTCCCTAATTGGCTACATTGAACTAGCGTGTTAGCATTGTCCATTTATATACCGTCTATGGGTCACAGCAGATACTGACTAGTTTTCTGACCACCCCAGACCCACAAAAAGTCTAAGAGGGCAATAAGGGCGACAGTAGCTCAGTTGGTAGAGCATTGGCCTTTGAGCCAGAGGGTCGTGGTTTCGAGCCCGACTTTCACCATCGACTGTCATTGGAAAGACACTTAACCTCTAGGAACACCAGCCACTGTGGGGCGGCTGCAGCTGTAAAGTGCCAAACTGCCGTTGTGTCCTTAGGCAAGACACTTTACCCCCATTTCGTAGAATGAGTCTGCTGTGTGTGTGAATGGTTGGTGGTGGTCGGAGGGGCCGACGGCACAAACTTGCCTCAATTCTGTCAGTGTGCCCCAGGGCAGCTGTGGCTACAGTAGTAGTTCATCACCCCTGTGTATGGAGTGAATGAATAAGGACATGTGAAGTGTCTTTGAGTGTCCAAAAAAACCGATGCATTATTATTATTATTAAATGTCTTTGTCCCATTGGAAAATTAGATTATCACACACACAAATGTACTGACTGTATCACACACAGACACACAAATGTACTGACTGACACACAGACAGATGTACTGACTGTATCAAACACACGCACACACAAATGTACTGACATACACACACACACACACACAAATGTACTGACATACACACACAGATGTACTGACACACACAGTGTGTGTGGGCGGCGGCCGCTCTGACTGTATCGTTTTTTTGTGTGACAAGAAAAAACAATGGCGTCAAAAGGGCAGAGAGCAGAGTTGGAAAAGAAATGAACAACTGGGACTTTCACAGCAGTCAATAAGACTGCTCTTAGTTTGTGTGTGAGTAAAGTGGCTATTCAGCACACAAGGATCACAAAAAATATACAAAATAAGAATCTGCTATGTTTCTCAACTAGCTGTAAATGCTTCAATATATTGACATATATCTATCTAAATATACACAATGAATTCCAGACTATAAGCCGCAGGTGTTATCCTACATTTTGAACGCTGCGGCTTACAGTAAGGTGCGGCTTGTTTTGTGACGCCAAAAAAACATTTTGCCAATTAACAGTCGACCAATAGAATTGATAAGTAGTTCACAGAGGTCCAAATAAAATTCAATTCAAAATTTGTCAATGAAGCAAAATCAACTCTGAAATTTTAAAATTCCTCACTTATAACATCTTTGTGTAAACATCTTAAATAGTTTTAAGAAGAAGAAGGTCCTTTATTCGTCCCACAGTGGGGAAATTTCAGTTTAATGCATACACATATACATACTGTATACATATACTGTACACATCAAGGCAAGCAGCAAACATCACTTCTGCGCTGCTTATAGGCAAAGTGGGTTAAGTGTCTTGCCCAAGGACACAACGACAGCAGACATCAGTGGGAGTCGGTGGAGAAGGGCTTGTGGTGGGCTTTTTGGTTCTCTGAATAAACATGAAAGAGAAACGAGACCTTTAGATGTTGCTCCTTATCTTTCTGCTTATTGGAAGATTCAGAACAGTGGTACAGGTGCGGCTTATAATCCAGTGCAACTTGTGTAAGCAAAAAAATGAATTTCTTTCTAAAACACTAGAGCCAACTGCGGCTTATAATCCGTAAAAATACAGAAAATATAGTACAAGGTCATAGATTAATCTTAAGATCCTTCGTCCCCGAGCGGGTACTGGTGTTGCATCACAAGTTACAGAACAGTAGGGATGAGGAGCACACAGCACAAGATAAGTGAACAACAGCTTTACTAATTAAACTAAAATAAAATCTCTGACTCTAGCATCAAAGAGCAAACATATTCACACAGGCCGGCGTAGTAAGCAGACAAAATGACATTCAGTGGACTTTAAAACAGTTGTAAATGAATATAAATTTGTGATAAAAGTAAAAGTTGTGGCCCTGGATCCACCCCTATGTCAACACCACCACCCCCGCTCTCTCTCAGTAATTTTGACAGCACAGGTACACAACAGGTTCACCTCTTAACAACACGTTAAAAAGCCTCCACACTCTCTTTACGTCGTCGAGAACACATTATGTCAACAACATTCGAAGCGTCCCATGTGACCCCCGTCTCCGTACGCACCAGGCTGTAGCCGCAAGTATCTTTAGCCTCGCTACTACGCTAACAAGCCCGTCAGCGGCTGCCTGCGCTCCAGATAAAAGAGTGCGTTTGATATCGACTCCGGGAACACCCTCTCCACGTCCTCATTAGCTCCGACACGCCGCGGCTGAGGTCGCTCCGCTGGGACCGAGGCCAACGCCAGCTCTGGAAATCGGACGTGTGTGTGTGTTTTCGGGCTTCACCTACATCTCGTTATGAAGTTGGAGAGGAGACAGCCGGGCGTAGGAAGAAGAATTGTATAGAATTGATTTGTAAAAGTGTAAGAGTAAGTGTGCTTCCGTCTGTTAGAGACTTTATGAGACCTGTGGCTTGTTAAAAACTACTAGAATGAGACTGTAGATCCAAGGTCTGAGGCTATAGATCCAGGACTGAGGCTGTAGACCTAGGACTGAGGCTGTAGATCTAGGACTGAGGCTGTAGACCCAGGACTGAGGCTGTAGATCTAGGACTGAGGCTGTAGATCTAGGACTGAGGCTGTAGACCCAGGACTGAGGCTGTAGATCTAGGACTGAGGCTGTAGACCCAGGACTGAGGCTGTATTAAATCTAATACTATCATAGTTCCTCATATTTCCATATGGTGTGAAATGTTGAATATAGAATCAAAGTTAAAAATGCATGAGTGTAAACAATATGGGAAATTATGGATCCTGCACATGGATCTTGTCAATCACTCCACCCACACACTCACCTTCCGGAGACTTCTTCTGCTGCTGCTGCTGGTACTGCTAACAACCAGGACGTGGCTAGTTTTCACCTGTATCTGTTTGTGTTGAATTGTGAATGAACTCAGATTTCTAATGTTGATATAGTTGCTAATTTAAATGCTATTGTTTACATTCACTTATACTAAGGACACCTGTAAAAAGGGTAGGCAATATAAGCATTAGCTTCAGCCTACTCCTTTTCGGTCTTTGTTTCTGCTGTAATTTACTATCCTGACGATGTGTAAAATGCACAAGTGACCGAAATAAAATAAAAAACTGAAAACTGTTGGTTTTATCCATTAAAATATTTGAAAGGCATTGTTTAACAGTGTGTATGTAGTATATAAGTAGTGCTGTCTGGTAAACGCGTTCGTAACCCATCAGAGTTTGCGCCGAATTCGTTGGTTGTAGTTTGGCGGAGAATGCGATAGTAAAATAATCTTTACTGGTTTGGCTCCAAATATCAAGAAATTTAAGCCAAAGCCGAGTGTTAGGAAATTGGTTTATTAGCATATTGATAAATGTATGGGTCTTCCTATAGATTGTGTTTGGGACCATTTCAGCACTCAATGGCAGGAAATCACTTATCTAAGTCATGAGGCCAATTGGAGACTGCTGACTTCACCGTTCTCTGGGGTCAATGGGACAGTGGACGTCTAGAACAGTGTTTTTCAACCACTGTGCCGCGGCACACTAGTGTGCCGTATGATATTGTCTGGTGTGCCGTGAGAAATTCGTCTACTTTGTCTAAAAATAGCTGCATTCGCTGTTGACGAGCGGTGACTTGTTTTGAACTGTGAGTAACCATGTAATACTTTTTCAAATCAGTAGATGGCAGCAGATAGCTAAGTACTTTGAAACTGAAAAATTGGATGCGACCACTGGCTGTAACAGGTCAGCATTGTGGCGAGAAAGGTAAAATTGGATGCGACCAACAAATGTGGGAGGGAGCGAGACAAGAGCTTTGTGGCGAGTGAGAAGTGAAAGTGATAGAGACGTTTTTGAAAATGAATTATGCCGTTTCTGAACAGGATTAACATCCTCCGCTCTGCCCCGGGGCAGCTGTGGCCGCGTTGTAGTGGTTTAACTATGAAATGTACAATTTTTGTACAACAGCTCTCGCGAACGCACTTCTGAACTGGGTACCGAGCGCAGACCGTAGTCGAGTGGACAGAACCACAGACATGCGGACCGGACAGAACCATGGACTCGCGTTCAGGACCTCCCGTGTCCCTCATCCAAAACTCCTGAATTTAAAGCTCGGATACCTACATTTTTCCCATGCACTAACAATGCATGTTCTCTGTGTGAGTTATTAT